CCACCTACACAGACAAATGAAATGTTCAACAATTCCCTCTCTTCTGTTTGATAATGACAAACAAAACAGTAAATGGGTAAATACTAGGCGTTCTTGCAAATAATTTCAATTTTTACAATCTAAGACATCAATCAAATTATATAACTCTTTCATATGGACTCCTTTTAAGATCAAGAATTGTGATCAGGTGACTTTCTAAAAGGCTTCAAGATGTGACTGAAGTGAACAAGAATCCTATCAAATTACTATGGAAGAATGTTATGACTGTTGACAAGAGGATTTTCATCAAAAGACTACCAAAAAAGTCACCTTAATTTCATTAATATTGATTTTCCAGCAAGACACATGTCTGAAACAAATGCTAATGACCATTACAAAAAAGTAACAATTTCTCACTGTCCTTTTTCCCAGCATATTTATGAATCTTGTTCTTGAGGCAGATAGCAAGGAAGCTGATGACTGCCAGTCGTATAAAGCCCATGAGCCAAAAAATCTCCACAAATCCAAGAGATTTTGAGATTTTATATGAAAAGATATTTGGATCCTTAAGCTATTTCAGAAATATTCCCATAAACTAGGTAATAGCCGTGATTGTTTTGCAAGTCATGAAACCACAAAACCCTCATCTTTGAGGGTATACAGAGGTGATATGTCTCCAGTTACACATTTCCCCAGGGTGTCCATGATACTCATTGTATGGATTCAGGATTTACTTGGAGTAATTGGGTACAGTGGGAATATTCAGGGCCTGTGGAGTTGCGGAGTTTGACTGATGCCATGAATGTGTCAGTGGATATGTGTCATGGATAACGAACAATATTAGGACGAGTAGTGTCACCTAATCTGTCAGTGTGTCATAGATAACAAACAGTATTAGCACAGTTGTGTGACCTAATCTGTCAGTGTGTCATGGATAACAAACAGTATTAGCACGAGTTGTGTGACCTAATCTGTCAGTGCAGGAAGGTAACATGGGAACCTGGCAGGCTAGGTCGGCATGTGCTTAAAACATGATCTCCCTATAGAGTGTCTTGTTCAACCCTTTATGTCTCTATGTTATAAGAAAGAGATGGATCCGTTGTTTTAACCCCATGGCAGAAATACAAGTATGATGACCAATTGACTTGGTCATGTCTCTATTGTATATTCATCTTATGAAATGCTCCTATTGCAAATGTGTTGCCTCTTTTCTTGTCTGGATAAAATAACCATGTACAGAGAAATAACCACACAAACGTCGGTCACGTACCACTTATCTTACGATTGTTTCAGAAGGTATCTAACAAGCCGTAAGATAAATGGTATCTAACATGCACAAGTGCAATATTTTATTTCCCTAAAATTGCACCATTTTACCATTGAATCAATGCATAGTTTGTCTTCTATCATATTTGCAGTGGTGCATTAATACATAACACAAAGGTCAAATGTGATGTCATCTAGTATACTGCTCACTACTCGTAAGGCATTTAGAAGTTGGAAGAACATGAATACAGGTTACTTTAATGGATAGCAATTTCTTTTATTCTTTCTCACGATGTTTCAGAGCTAGTTCTTCCTGCTGTTTCATCAGGTGAATGCTGAGTAAGTACAACATATAGATATAATATATAGATATATATAGATATATATAGATATAGATATACATATATATATATATATATATATATATATATCTTGATCTGTTTACTCCTTCCTCGTGTCTCGTGTGACCCTCTACAAAACGGTTTCAGTTATATCTGGGGATTATTTAAGCGATGATGATGATTCAAACGAGTAAGAAGTAATTATATCAAATATTTCTGCTTCAAGCTTCATGGATACATATGGCAGGGGCCGTTTGTTAAAAAATTAAACAATATATTACCTCCTGCCTCGTGTTTTTCAAAGTTTGAGATAAAAACCTAATAATGAATTAACTGTGGCCTGAGGGACACATGAAAGTCAAACAAAAGTTGGTTTATTGAAACAAGACAGCTGTTGGCAGCAAAAGAATACACACTGGTCAAGTAACAAAAATGGTGCTGTGCGAAACGAACAGTCTCGACAGAGACCATACACCGAGGTATATGGTCTCTGGTCTCGATTAATGAGTTAAATGTGAAATTTACAGTTTATTACAAAACATTTTTCAAGAGAATAACAAATGGCAAGAAGTGACATTACCCCCATAAATGACCATCTGTCATTATTTTGTCTTGTCGATGTGGAAATAACATAAAAAGGAAGTAAACAGTTTGTGTATGGGCCTGACATTTACAACAAAGGGAGACAATTTGCAGGGAGGTAACTTTTGTATGACAATATTTCTATCCAAGTGTTATGTTCACTGCAATGAAAATATCACTTTTCTCAACTTCTGAAAACTGAAATATATAGCCAAACAAATTTTCCCCGTGAGTACCCGGATGACACGCAATGCAACTGAGCGTGACCAGAGACTGTGCTACCGTCTGCAAGGACAGCCAAATAAACTTGGAGGCTGGAGGCAATATTTGTTTTACGCATTTTTGCATAAACACTGATTGCTTAACTGTGATCTATAAAAATTTCGACAAAGGGCGCATGCTAATTAATTTCTTCAGCCTAAACAAACAGACAAAAAGAACGGCGGAGCTCATCGGATGTCGTCATTTGGAAATACTAAAAAAAGTATCCATGCAGTGAAAGCATTTTTGGATTCCGGCTTGCGTCGATAATACGATTACTACTCCACGTTTTCTCGTATAACCCTACACTTGTGTATTTGTCGTCATTCACTTGATGCTCAGTTAATGAATTTATTACAGGTACAATTAGTGGTAGCACCACTTAGATTACCTGACAAAGGTTCCCATTTGGCATTTATTGTGTCTGGGGTAATTATTCAATCTAAATCCAGGTTTGAAGTGAGGTGAAATGTGTGTTATGTAATATGCACGTGGCAGCCCAGCAAGAGATGAATGATCAGTTGATTTACTTTTTTTTGTAAATCAACGGATCGTTCCTAGTCATCAAAGGATTAACAGAAAATACGTTGATTGATTAATCACTGTTATCTTGTACAGTGGATATGTCACAAGTGAGTGTTTACATGTGCAGGTTTACTAAAACAAAGGGAATACACTTATATCATGGCGTGAAGTGCCGATGTAAAAACAACATACTTTGTTCAAAGGGTTAACTGATAATACGTTGATTGATTGATCATTGTTATCTATCACTCAATGGATTTTTTAGGAACCGTGGACGTTGTCATGTGGGCCTTTGAGACTTGACACTTATGTAAAACACCTGAAACAATCCAAGTGATCAGTTAAGAAACGAACACGGGTTATAGTATCCCGAAACGATATACATCTTTTAAAATATTTGATTGTTACAGAGACACGTGACATCGAAAAAGTTTCTTTGTACAGCTGCAGACGAGTGGGATATTGTTCCTTTGTGTGGATATTCACGGATACATTCCTCGAACAAGGAAGCTGCCTAAAATTTATACACATAAATTTGGTAGGTTGTAATAATGATATATGCATTTTGTTTTCCTTCATTTGAACCTATTCGTTCTTGTTTCTCTACGTCTTGGTTGGGAAATTCTACAATGCGCGATAGACGTTGTTTTCACAGGTCTTTTCCTTTGTAAGCGTGTATATATTACCGTCAATTTGTAAAATATGATTCTCTCAGGCAATTTATAAAATGTGTAAATATTTCAGTCATTTTGACTTAAAAATCTGTCCAGATTGATTAAGACGATCAAAAGGGCCTACAAACATCACAACAGATTATTATGTAGGATTAGAAGCCAAACCACATAGAAATGTACTTTTCAACGTCACATTTTCAGCCTCTTGGTGATGACATTAAACATCAAAATGTTTGGAATTCCTTATCATAATAATACAGATGGAAATGTTTTTTAGTCACTTTGTAAAATAACTGAATATTTAGATGTTTAATAAATTTGTAACACATTTGACAGTAACAAAATATACACACTATAAAAAAGCAATGCTCAGGTGAAATATTTACTTTTTGTTGCAAGTCAAAATAGTGTAAACGAAAATCGCAAAATTACCAAGCAAGTGACTTATCAAAACTTCGTCACCATTACCGATGCTACCCACAAAGATACCTACATTTCCTTATTATCTCGAAAACTGTATTTCATTTTGTTGATCAATGTGACCATACGCCCTTATTGCTACCCATAAAAGTGACTACTGCGCTTACGAATGGCACAGCAGAGGTCGCGAACTAGTCTAGATTTCTGCTATACATCCAGGTACTAACTGGGGAAAAACAATAACAAAGGCAACAACCAGTCCCGGGGAATTGCGTTAGATCAGTGCCCCTTTAAGGATACCCTCAACAAGGGACTGGCAGCTGTGGGCAGGTGCCTCATGTATTCCTACATCAATCAGACTTTGTAGAGATCCGTGTCTGGCCTACTGAACTGTGATCATCTAATGGAACTTAGCGAGAGAAAGGGTTTGGGAAGGGCCATAGATGTAAGGCACTTTGGTGGAACACTCAATCAAGAGCATGACCCTGACAGAGCAAAACAATCATGATCAGACAAATCTGTGATTTGAACTCTTTAACAACTGATCCTGGCATGGCAAAGGGCTGCATCTCTGATAGTGTCGTTAGACACATACTGGTGCACCTGTGCAAACCCTAACAAAAGTTAAAATCACTTCGTGGAAACATACCGGGGGTAACACATAAATGCCAGAGAATTACCAGTCTTGATAATCCACTGATTCCATTGGGTGTAAATGTCAAAATAGATGTGAAAATTATATGAATGGATCACTGAAAATCAGTGATGGAAACAGGTGTTTTCTGAAGGGTAAGCATGTCCTGTCCTACAGGTACTACCTGTAAATCACAAAATTTGCATGCACAACTAAGTGTTTTACTGGGTCCTGACCTGTCCAGGTCTACTTAACACTTGGACATGACTTTGCTGAACTATCGGGATGGACCACATGAGCTTATTAAACCCTACTCACCTTCATCACTAGTTTTGCCACATCCACTGGGCACTTGTTTGTTTCAACAGCCAACCCATCCTCACCAACACAGGACACATTCCGCGTTTGGATGCTCTCTCCACAAACTCCAGTCTCAGCCTGGCATTCGGACCAATCAGAAATGATCCAGCGATAGCAGCCTTTCTTGAAGCAAGGTTTGGATTGGCGCAGTTCAGTCTCTGGGGGACATCTTCGCCCATTACCTAGCGGGTTCTCGATGACTGTCCGGTTCCTTTGTGTAACACCTGGAAGAGTCAGTGAGTGATTGACTTTCGTCTTACACTGCTTTGAACAGTATTTCAATTATATCACAGAACATCAGCTTGTATATACAAACTTGTACATTAGTTCGAAGAAATATCATTAGTAACCTTAGATTAAACTCAGAGTCCATTCTTATAATTTTTATTTTGTGGAAAATATATGTCCATTGAGAAAGTATTACAATGTAGACATGTTTGACAATACCACTCTCCCATACTTGTTACCACTGATAATATACTTGGAATTGACAGTGTTAATGCTTGAAATATAAGCAACAAAACCCTTTCCAATTTCATAAGAAATCTCTGCTAAAAGCAGAATTCATTGCATGATTCTGATGATATCATGAACATGTGTTTGTGAATCACTATCAAATAGTGATGAGACCAGATGTTCACAAAGCGATATTTTGATTCAGACTTCTAAAACGATGACTTTCAAGATTAACTGCATTACTTGGGGACCAAATCTACCCATGTGAGTGATTAGAAATTTTTCACTATGTACGCAAACATCAAACAATAGTTATCATTGTTACTAATTCTAAGAATACTACCTCTATTACATCATAGCCATAAATCCTGTATTTTGGCTGCAGACACACTATAACTAAATCTTAAGATTTTCAACAGAAGTCTTCTTCACTGTCAACTACACACAACTAGTTGTTCCCCTAATAGCACATTCAGCTCTTCAGCTCTTCTTTGCAAAGCAGACACACTATAACTAAATCTTAGGATTTTCAACAGAAGTCTTCTTCACTGTCAACTACACACATCTACTTGTTCCCCTAATAGCACATTCAGCTCTTCAGCTCTTCTGTGCAAAGCAGACACACTATAACTAAATCTTAGGATTTTCAGCAGAAGTCTTCTTCACTGTCAACTACACACAACTAGTTGTTCCCCTAATAGCACATTCAGCTCTTCAGCTCTTCTGTGCAAAAAAGCGGGAAAAACGTCAGCTAAAATACAGGATTTATGCCTATGATGTTATAGAGACAGGGGATTCGCAGGAATTAGTAACCTTATGACTTTGAAGGTTCATCTTTCAAACATCTTTTACGAAACTTTAAGATTTATGTTACATACCAAGGCCACATTTTGTTGTGCATGGCGTCCAGTCTGACCAGTCAGAGAGCAGACAGTCATTATCACATGGTATCTCACATGACACAACCATGGACTCGGTCACCTCGCCCTGGATCTGGAAGAAAGGGAGGTAACCCATGATTACTCTGCAGATGCAGAATTGTCACATACAGCCTCATATCCAATAATAATGTAAGTAGTTTCTAAAATCTAATTAGCACATAAGAAACATAATATCAAACTGGGTGATCAACACTTCATAATCCAATAATATATTGTATAATGACATTCTCAAGGTTTTATTCAACCGAAACAATTACAAGATGACCTACTGCGTTTCCAATTTATTAAGTATTGCTACCTCAGGCCTTATCTGTAGTAGTTGAGGAACAGAAGTGAATTATGTGAACACATTTATAATTTATTTCTTAATTCAAACTCAACTTTTAATCACTCCTGGAGCTACCATCTGGGCGACATTCAGTGTGAGACAATTGTTTTTTAGAGTTGTCTCCCCTACACACAACACCTGCACTACTACCAGGATGACATTGCACTGTGAGACAATGGTATCTAGAGTTGTCTCCCCTACACACAACATCTGTACTACTACCAGGATGATATTGCACTGTGAGACAATGGTATCTAGAGTTGTCTCCCCTACACACAACACCTGCACTACTATCAGGACGACATTGCACTGTGAGACAATGGTATCTAGAGTTGTCTCCCCTACACATCTCCACTTCTATCACGCTTCATTGCATGGTCAGACAGTGATATCTAGAGTTGTCTCCCCTACCTTTAAACTGAAAAGGAGCCTAATGTTCTACTACACTAAATCAGAACCAGTTGTGACTGTGCCGTTTTCAGAATGAGAGATACCTGCAGGCAGTGATTGGACGATATTGTGTAAGATTTTTATGTCTTATAAATGTAACATCCATCCAGTAATTAAAACTGACTATTTTTTTCTATATTTAGTACTGTCTTTTTCAACATGATGACTTATGCTGAATGAAACCACAGATATTTTCAAGTAGGTGACATTTGGTGCGGAAGTGGGGGTGGTGTGTTTAGCTTCCTGTACTCGGAAAAGGAGCTGGCTAAGGCCAAACTATGCACACACGTACTAGCTGTTGAATGCTCAATTATTTAAAAAAAAAAATAGTGTTACTCTAGAAGTCTATGGGAAAACATTGGGTTGTGTGTAACCCTAGGTAAGATGTAAAGGATAAAACATGACTCCAAGGTTTTGGTTGACATAGTAAAACCTTGGGAAGCAGTGACTGAGCTAGTAAAACTAAGGATGTTAGCTCAAAATTTTAGTAATGAGGTCACTGCTACCCAAAGTTTTACTAGCGAGGTCACTGTTGCCCGAACTTTTACTAGCGAGCTCACTGCTACCCGAACTTTTACTAGCGAGGTCACTGCTACCTGAACTTTTACTAGCGAGGTCACTGCTACCTGAAGGTTTTATTGTGTCAACCAAACCTGAGAAGGAGAGTTTTATCTGACTTATGAGCCATCGAAACAACATTTATCAATATTTGTTTAATATCATGCATTACGACTCTCTAAAGAAACACTCATAAAATATATCTGGCTTGGAAATATTTTCTTACATGGTACATTCTCCTGTACAGAATTTCTTCAACCATTTCTGTGGTCGAATGGTCAGAATGCCTGACGACTGGTCAGGAGGTTGTGGGTTTGATTCCCCTCATCCAAAATGAAAATGTTTCATTTGTTGTCTTCGATTTTAGAACATTGGACGTTTGAAACACTAATTTCAAATTTCAACTGCTTATCTACTCATCAGGTTTTACCAGTAAATCTTCATACTCGGTCTTACTTGTAAAAAGTAAAAGCCCTGAAGAGGTTTATACAAATTAACGTCCAAAACTATGGTCAATATTTGGGACATGTTAAGGAAGATTCAGAACCAGTGCAAAATCTAGACTTACTTCATTTATGAAGACATCATTACAGCAAGGGCTGGGCAGAGGGGAAAATATGGTTTAGGGACTGTCAGACAGACTAAGGTAACTGATTACCTCGTACAGAGACCAATAGAGTTGCACTCACTTTTGTACAATAGATGCTGTCGACGGTGCGGCCCCGTTCATCTCGGCACCATGCGTACCTCTCCTTGTGCCCCACCCCACACTCGTCATGCCCACTGTTCACCAGACACGATGTCCACTCAGACAGCTGCCATGAGTACTCGATGCAGTTGTCTCCCCTCACACAGGGCTGCTGCTCCACCATGTGGGTACAGTTGTTGTGGGACTTGATGAAGTAAGATGCGGGTTTCCGAAGAAGATTGCGAGACCTCCTCTGAGTCTGGCGGCCATTACATGGCTGTAACAAATGGCAATATATTAGACGTAGCATCAATGATGTCGGTGCATTTGTTTTCGGTAAATGCACTGAGCAGTATAACTAAACTCGTCTAAACTCGTTGCAGTGCCATACTGACCTGAGTGCATGCTGTCCATGCTGTCCAGTCACTGAACACACAGTCGCCGGGGCAGGGCAGCAGACACACTTGGTTCTCCTCCAGGCGCTCGTGCTGGTTACACAGACTGTCATCCGGGAACGTTCCGGCCAGTCGCGTCTCCCCGATAGTCTTACATCTGAGAGGACAGACACATTTTGTCATGAGCATAGTGTGCTTCTTAGATTAATTCAAGAATTGACATATTTTTTATAGTTATATATATCAAAGCAGACAAAAATGATGGGATTCATAAACATTCCAGGTGTAGGAATACATCTGTGGCGTCACATTAATCAGGTGGTTCTTTTATTTATGCACATAAGTTGACACGCCTACGAAGTCAGTAGCCAATCAACAGAGAATAAGATCAAAACAATGTTCATATGACTTGTCAATCAAGGCAAAATGCGAGAAGAACTGCAACAGTCAGACTGTAATGAACCGGAACAAATATGTCCGTAAAAAGGCGGCTGTTTCAAATGACATGCTCAGTTACCGCCAGATTCAAACATTACTTCCCTGAGAATGGGGAGACACAGTTGGATAAATGCTAGTTAGAAATGAAACCTAAAAAGATGAAAGTTGAGGAACCGAGGCGAGCAGGGAAAAAACAGGCGAGCGAGCCTGCACGTTTGCTGTTTCATTCCTTCTCGGCCTTCTGTCAAAGGGTAGTTTGGACAATGAATGTGCATGAGTTTGGCTTAATGTCCTGTACATGATGATACACGTGAGCAGAAAGGGAATTCCCTCGACTGTAATATTGGGATTCCTAAACATTCTGTAGTAATAAAAGTAGTCCTCCTCGGTAGGCGTGGCTTAAATTTTTACATTCATTGGGAAATGAATGCAATAACACATGACCATTTCAGCTGATCAGAATGCAGAAATTTCAATAAACACAACAAAAATTTAATCATATAAAGATGTAGACATGGAGAATGATGTGGTGATGGGGGATTTAACTTACAGCAGAAATTTCATGTTTTTGCCACAGCATGCACTGGCTCACAATCGAAACCAAGGCCTTCGAAACAAAAACAAATGCCTAAATCAACAGGCATATCCTCTACACCTCGATTTTTGGCTATTTTCACCTTATTATGTACAAAATGTGGTAGCTCTAGTGAAGACCAGATTGTTTACTGGCCACCATCGCATGGCAGGAATACGCCTGCACAGTGTGACGTAACCAACACTTACTTTGTTATACAGATTGTGTGAGTGGCAGGTGCTACCGGCAGGTCATGCTTACCCTTTCTCCAAACACCTTGTGTTGTGACTGATTTTTAGTGATCCATTCATATAATTTTCAACGCTATTTTGCATTTTAAGCCTAATCAAGACTGATGATTTTCCAATGTTTTATGTTCATAAGCCTGAGGTGTAGACTTTACCACCTTGTCAAAACACATGAGCATAGGCATGGTGCTGACAAACCATTTAAGCATCATAATCAGGGGAAATCTGGGATTCAATCTTACAAAAAAAGGGTTCACCCATGATCACCATTCACCAAACAAGACAAGACTCCTATTTAAGAGTGATAAGTAAAAGTTTAACTCACCTGACACCCCTGGACTGAGTCCCATGTCCACATCCGGTGCCCGTCATGGGCCGACAGGAGCCCCACTTGGACCCCTCCCAGACGTGGTACTCGCAGGGGGAGCGACACACTCGGCTCTGGGTCTCCTGCAACACACACCACAACAATGGTGGTCAAACAGTCCTACATTCTACCAGGAAATAAAAAAATACTGATTCTGATTGGCCAAACAGTGGTTTCAAATAATAATAACTACTTCTGTTTGAAATAACTCTTTCGATTGCCTCGTGATGACCACATCTCAGCAGACGCTAACTTATATGAAAAAAACTAATTCGTTTGTTTTGATTTTGTTCCAAATACAAATTAGTGCACATAAAACTACAGGTAACTCGGACTGCTTCTATGGATAGAGCATCAGCCTGGAGAGCAAAAGTTTGTGGTTGGATCCCCAGGCACATACCAACACAGATGTTAAGCGATGGTACTTGTTGTTACCCTGCCTGGCACTCAGCATTAAGGGGCTAAAACAAGGACTGGTCGGCTCGGAGTCAGTATACTGTGCCTGAGTGGGGTATCCATGTTAAACTGTGGCATGGCATCTCAGTGAACTAGCACTATAAAACTGGCATCAGTCCAGATTAGTACGAGCAGCCACATACACACATAATAATATTTAATAAAATAATCTTGAATGTGATGTGAAAGCCCACTTCACCTCACCGTTAACCCAACCCTTGACAACACAGTATGTTTATCTTCCAGACAACAGCAAGTGAGTGAGTGAGTGAGTGAGTTGGGTTTAACGCCGCTTTTAACAGTATTCCAGTTATATCGCGGCATGTCAGCTTAATGTGGGAGGAAAGCCCGAAGTGATGCAGGTCAGACATTTACCACTTCGGTGAAACCCACGAGCACGGGTATGGTGCTGACAAACCTAGAAACATAATTGGGGAGAACCACAATCATAGGTTTCTGGCGTGCCCAAGGGACGCAACTCTGCACAGCGAATCGCGGCGCCTTAGACGACTGGGCCACCCGTGCCCCCGCAACAGCAAGTGAGGATCAGGGCAAAATAGTCAAAAGAATGATTGAAAATAAACCTAATGTGTCGTGATGGATTCTGATGAAGAGATATTCCACTGAATCTATATCAGGTGATAGCCCTGGTGGGAAGCCCCTTTTGTAAAACACAGTTATGGACAGGCCAGAGTAACAAAATGTTCCAGTTTGTGAAGTTTTTGTTTATACATATGTATATAAAACCTATGAACTCAATGGAAACTAATGACTTTGATCTTTAAAGTGATGAATGTTTTGTAATAAATACAATCATTGAAAAATATTTCAAAATTGGATGCCTTTGAATAATTTGGCAAGCTTCATTAGCCATTAAGTGTGGCTATTTATTCTGTAATAGTACAAACAAGGGCCCATAAAGTATGTCATCAGTCTGTTGAATGTTAGAGACCAACAACCAATCAGGTGTCAGTTCTACTGTTTACCTTGCGGGTACCATCGAGTGAAGGGCACTTCCTGCCCCCGTCCGCCGGCTGCGTCGCGATGCTGCGGAATCGTAGCTGCATGCCCGAGCCGCAGGTGACGCTGCACTGCGACCAGTCGCTCCACTCAGTCATCTCACAGTCCACCGGACACGGCACAATGCACACCTCCTCCTTGTACTCTGAGAAACAAGGAAATACTTCACGAGACTGTGGCCCTATGTCATACCTATACCTATCCATAACAATGTTCCCTGCTGACCATAGAGATCAGGTACCCAGTCCCTGTCAAGGTGAATTACTGAAACATTCATGAATACGGAGTAGTGTCCTTTATCATACCTCCATGTCAGAATAATGAGACCTGATTGGGCCACGTGATCTTGATAAAATACCATGTATCCCGCCTTGGGAAATAATTTTCTCAGTGAGAGAATAAATCCCTTATACCCCGCCATGAACAAGTCAGCCTGCACATGGAAATAATTTTCTGAGAGGCAGAATAAATCCCTAATACCCCTCTTCAAAACAAGTATTCACGAGGAAGGTTGGTTTTCAAGACAATCAAGGTCTGGACTAACAGATGTTTGGGACTAACGTGTCTCATATAATTCGAAACACATCCTCCTACCTGAGTTGAAACATTTATCTGCACTTTCCATATCCCTCCTGTCATTTTGACATGCGTAGGCCTTGAACTGTTTCCCACTTCCACAGTACGCCTGCGTGGGGTCACTCCTCATGGACTCGTTGGCGTCGCGATGGCGGATGGACTTGAGGGACATCTGGGCAAACCTCTGTTTGACATCATCCTTCTCATCCAGGATGCAGTCCGACCAGCCACCGATCACCATGGGAGACAACTGGCTGCACTTGCACTTCTCCTGCTCGTCCAACTGGTACTTGTGTCGGCAAACGGGGTTGAAACGACTCTCACCTGGAACACGGGGATACAGGTATGTCATTCAAGGCAGGCATATTTGTTAAAATGATACATAGTTAGAAAGATGTTGGTATTCGGGCACTTAACATCTACATCACCTGAACACTACTTGGCCCCGTTCCACCAAGCGCTACGACTGACGTAAGTCTTTGTGAAAGTATGGGAGTTACGATCATATTAGCGCTACGATCACTTTGTGAAATGTGGCCCTGTCAATTATTCTCATAAATTTCTAGAAACAGATTCTTCAAAATACCTCTACAACTGCCACACATTAATCATCATCATCATCATCATCATCATCATCATCATTAATTATAACAATCATAATTTGTTTCATAATTACCAGGAGTACATTTTCTATTGGTTGTTAAAGGTTTGAAAAGACTCGTGCCAAGTCCATCTTGATTCTTCTCAACAATTTGATAGGATGTTCAAAAGGATTATTTTAACATCTATGTTACCTAAAAGTTTGCGTGTCCGGAATCTGAAACCATTGCAGCCTCCTACACATCTCTCCCAGGATGACCAATCAGAGATGTGACACTCCTTGGCACATGCCACATAGCACTTCTCCACTATCGGGGGCATGGCACCGATTTCCCACAGACATGTGTTGGTAGGGTGTTTAGTTCCATTGCCATGCTGACATGAGATATCTAGGAATTGAATACAGAAAAATGAAAACCTTTCAAACAGATATTGTTAGCGAGTGAATGTTACTGTATCTATATTACAGGAATATCACAGCCTCCGGTGAATAATGGAATGAGGAGAAACTGACCAAATGTTTAAAGCAGGAACAGTGATCCACACTATTAGATGAGGATGACATAGAACAATCTGGGTCACAAATGTGAAGTGAGTTGATTTCAATGTGGGTCACAAATTTGCAGTCAGTTGATCTCAGTTTGAGTCAACTCTTGCAGAGACGTACTGTGGAACTATTCTGTTAGAAATCAACATGGGAGTCCGTTAGATGCAAAGATTGGAATTACACTGAAACTTACTAAAAATGTCAGCTCGTATAAGTTCAAACACTGACAAATCCGCGACTGACTCACTCCGAGCACGAAGTCCATTTCCGCAGTAGGGGACGACCGGCGGCAGGATGCAGCTGCTCCAGTTCGACGTCTCCCACTCGTACTGCTCGCAGATCGGCAGGTGGAGGCACTGGCGCTCCTCAAACAGACTGTTGGGGCACGGCGTACCGCTGCCTTCTGGGAACTGCAAGATGTACCTCTGACGTTGTTGCTTGGGAAGGATTTGGCGTGCTAGAAATATATAAATCATGTGTATAAGCTACCTGTACATTAAAACTAATTATAACAGTTTGGTCCAGAGATGTAGACATAGTGACTGAATGATGATTTTATGAGCGCTTCTAATGTTTCAGTGTTCAAAGAATGTTATCACTGACTGTAGATTAACCTACCATCTATGCTGTTTACCTTTTATAAGGTTAGAACTAAACATTTTAAAGAAATCATTTCTGCAAAATATTATTTTTGTTTACAAAGCTGATATCAAGAATGAGATTAGCCAGTGGAATTATGTACTTCATTGAGAATTTCCTTCCACTATTTCACTCCACAAAATGATCTAAACCTGAAGTTCAGTTATGTCCACGCACAGTTTTGCCATCTGATATGAAGATGTTCCAGGCAACAAACAACATCCCCATCCCTTTGACAGACCACCTACCCCTGATGTTGAGACACTCCACTCCACAGCTGGACCACTCTGCCCACTCCGTAACCAGGCAGTCTTTAGGACACTCCACTGTGCAAGTCTGGGACTGTTTGGGCTTCACACGATCCTCACATCTATAAACAAGCAATGTTCCTCGTGTATCATGTAAACCACATCAACACAACCTTCCATAACAATTTACAGATTGTAGAAGCATATAGCAATCTTGATTATCCCATTAGAATCAGGGTGAGTGAATAAATTTTGTTTTATGCCCTATTCAGCAAAATTCCAGCTCTATCACAGCAACCTGGAAATATCAAGTCAGGGAAAGTCAAAACAGTGTGTGTGTATGAAAACCCAGTGATTGATATTGTGAGCAACAATCCATGCTGTCTGGGTGAGATGGTCCTCAATAACAGACCCTGACCATCCAATTCATTATGTCACCTCTTATGACCAGGAATGGTTGCTGCAGACCAATTCTAATCAGGAAAAAGACTTGTGAGCAAATGATCTAAGTGTGTAGAAGAGAATATGGACTGATTTCCCCATAAATTAAAACCCTGATACCCACAGTCAACAGATCTGCCTCCACTTCACCCTTTACCCCCTCAACAAAGCACTGGCACCCACAATTGACCGATCTGCCAGGTCATCCGTTTCCCCCTCAACAGAACCCTGGCACCATCAGTCAACCGATCTGCCACAACGCCACCAATTACCTCCGCTCAAGCACAGTTTGGCCCAGGTGGTTGTAGCACTGCACGTCCCTCTGCTGAATGCCCCGCCCACAGATCTGGGTGGCCTTTTCCAGGAGACACTTGCCCCAGTCTCCGTGCTTCCACCGGTACTTGGCACACTCCACCAGGGCGGGGCAAGGCTCCTCCTCCTTTAGAAGGGGGGCACAGGGCTGACCATCTGTAACACACACGCACTGTCATCAGGTCTGAAACTCACCTGAATTATCATGAAATAATGCACACATATTTAGAATTCTGTGTGTTACTTTTTAGAGGCACCATAGCAGGGATCACTTATGCAAAATTTCAGCTTCATAGGCCTTGTAGTTTTCAAGAAGATAAAATGACAGACAGATAGACAACATGCAGACAATGTGCCATCATATAAACTCACTTGAGTTTCAGTCAGGTGAGCTAAAATGGTGGTACAAAAATTAAAATATGAAAGTCTTGTTGATATTACTGAATAAGCTGGGTTGAGTTAATAATGTTATTCACTTCCCAGGGTGTCTGCTTAATGAAAAAACAAGCACACACACCATTCATTGTAGACCTTAACACTTTCGTAAAACCCACAAGCATGAGATTACAAATCTAGGTTCTTGATCCAGAATCAGTGAATCCTTGGGCTACCCATCGCTACAAAACAGGATGTGACTTTCCATTACCAAATAGGCGCAGTGGGGTGAACATTTACTACTCAAAAGAAGTTAAAGAACACCCGATTTTTTCATATTAGGGTAGTGAATTCATAACGCCATGACAGATTAAGTCTAGTAATAAAAAAGAATTGCGTTTTCTTGGACTATAGTGGTAGGAAAGAATCAGGTGTTCTTAAACTTCTTTTGGGTAGTACATGTATAATACTATAAGCTCAATGTTCACCCATACATGTTGGGCCTAGTGGTGTACTCGGACACTCAGCTTGTGAAACCCTGTACACCCTTCTGATCAGAGGTCGGATGCCTTGTCAACATGACCAAAGAGGTTAACCCAGTCAGCAAGCTGACAGCAAGGATGTCATCTGTGGGATGACTCCACGCCCTGCTATATACTCTGCCGTCAATAGAAGGCACGTCCGGGGCCGCATAGTAGGGTACTGAGGCTTATTTTGTTCAAATTTAATATGAACGTGCTGAGCCCAATGTTGGGCGCCAGAGTCAGCTTGTCAGCTTGCTGACGGGGTTAACCTCTTTGGTCATGTGGACAAGGCGTCCGACCTCTGATCAGAAGGTCTGTGGTTCGAGTCCCATCATGGGACTCGGAAATTTTTTGGCTGTTACACTAGCAACTCTTGTCCCAAGCTGCCGACACAGCTATACTCTTACCTTTCCCACTGAAGGCCAGGATCCTCCTCCCCCTCTTCCTGGTTGTTGGGACACTGCCGGTGCAGGGCTCGGGGCACCGGGTCCAGTCGCCCCACTCCGACAACACACAGTCATTCCAACATGGCACGTAGCAGTCCTCCCAGTCCTCCGTCCGACGTTCATGTTCCCAGCACAAGCTCTCAGACACTCTCTCCTGGAAAAAAAATAATAAAACATAAATTTGTACATTATCTTTACCATAATTGATGCCCATTTACTAGAAACCGTCCTCATCATAAGACCAATATATGAATGCCCCTTCTGTCATAATCTCTCATCTCTGCCCATCCAATGATCCATCTCTACTCATCCAATGATCCCATCTCTGCCCATCCATGGTGGCGGCACATGGTCCTTTGTACAGCACACAGGTCACAAATCAGGGGAAGTTGAGCAAGGTTGATCTCGGAGAGTAGTGGATGGGTGACTGCCTTAGGCAGCTTGGCTCCTGAGAGTTTCCAGGACTTTGGTCCTGCCCAATATATGTACTGACATGCATCCTTTGACATGTGACCTTGTTCGAAATGAGCCTCTGTTCACCCAGGAGACAATGGGTACCCTGTAGGATGAGATGGGTACCGTATTTTCTTGAGTATAGTGCGCACTTTTTTTCGAAAAAACACAGCTGTGTAGAAGGGGGTGCGCATTATACACGAATTATGAGTTTGGATGGGTTTTTTTCCCCCATGGAAAGACATTACCGTGAGCACGAAACACCGGAAATACCATGTCAACAAATCCATACTGAAGTACGCAAAATAATCATGTAATTACACTGTCTGGCTATAAAAAGTGTTCTTTGTATATCTGGACTTATGTTTGTAACTTATTTCATTAATTTTATTCAAAATTCCTTATAATATTGTTTTTATTAATTTCGGCGAAATCGTGTGTGAAGCGATCGGAAGATCGCACAACTCACCGTTATTAACAGCAACCACGGTCAGAATACCGCAATTGACGCCTTGAAACAAACTTTAGTTGACAGAGAATGAATACATATATCATAAATGACATACTTTGACTCGTTAAAAGTCACATTTGTTTTTGTTTGACGATTCTATGTCAACATGAAATTCTCGCAATCACGCGATCACGTGCGCGTGAGCCTTGAGGGTAACTGGTCAGACTGGTTCCATGTAAAAAATAATACCCGGCAATAGCGATCACCTGCTTTGCTTAGGGTTATTATTATTTTAAATATGTTAAGTAAAGGCTGCATATAATTAAGAAAATAATGGAATATATTATTCCTGATAAAAAAAATTGTTTCAGATACAATTGATGCCGATCCTTGCATTAAAAATCCTATAACGGTATATCATTGGGTGTGTCTTGACCGAATCACCGGTCGATTCCAAGAAAACGTGTGTACAGCTGATTGCCGTTTCCGGCTTAGTTTACGAGAAAATACACAAGGTAATCTTAATCCCTAGATATAAAACAATGCCTAGCAGAACAATAAATACTATTTAAACGGTAAAAAAACATGTCTGGTGATTTTTTATCTCAAATTTCGAATTTGTACTGACGAAGTTTCTCAGCACCCGTTCGTTTGCCGGACTTCGCTGAAAGGGTACGGTGTAATTTTTTTCTGCGCATAATATTCAAATTTCTTTTTTTCCAAAATATTGAACCCGCTAGAGGGGGGTGCGCATTATACATGGGTGCGCACTATACTCAAGAAAATATGGTACCTTCTAGCGCCTCACAGGAAGCTTGGGTTGTATACTCCCCAGGGAGCTGAGAATGAAAATTGAGTGAACACTGACTGATGCTTTTGGGCATGGAATTGGCACACTATAAATATGCTCCCATTTCTGCCCATCTAATGCTCCCACGTCAGTCCTTTATATACTCACCCCACTCCTGTCACTGCAGACGCTGTGCCGTGTGCGGTGCCCCACCCCACATCCACCCCTCTGAGATGGCTCACAGTCCCCAAGGGTGGTGTTCCAGTAGAAGCAGGCCTTGGGGACACAGGACTGAGTCTCACTCAGATGGGGACATGGGTTCCCCCCGGGGCCGGGCAGGGTCAGGATTTCTCGTGTCCTGTATCGTTTTCCTGAAATGGACATAGTAATGTGCATGGTTACATACTTTTAACTCGTAGCCTGAGAACCAACTTCTTAAAGACATTTCACCATTATTTGCAACGATCCATGATGCTAGATTCATTCAAATAGTGAAACTGTATTACCCCTATCTCCTTTGTTTTGACATATTGTTAAACACTTTAGGTTCGAAGGCAGGATATGTTGGGACAGTCTAAGAGGGTAGTAGTAGTACACACTTATCTCAACTGCAGAAAACTTCAATCATGCACAGTCTATCAATACCTATGACATAACAAGTGAGTGAGTGAGTTAAAATATAAAGTCGCATCAGCATTTTTTTAGCCATATTACGGGGTGAGTAGTGGTGAAGTGAAATTGGGTTTAACGTCGCGCCCAAGATTATTGCACTTATATAGCGACATGCATGCAGGTATGTGTGCATACAGTAAACTGACTTCGAGCCGACCAGTCCTTGTTTTAAGCCCCTTAATGCCGAGCGCCAGACAGGGTAACAACAAGTACCATCTTTTAACGTCTTTTGGTATGACGTGGCCAGTCAGGGTAACAACAAGTACTATCTTTTAACGTCTTTTGGTATGACAACCAGTCTTTGTTTTAAGCCTTAATGCCGAGCGCCAGACAGGGTAACAACAAGTACCATCTTTTAACGTCTTTTGGTATGACACGACCGGGGATCAAACCCCGGACCTTCCACTCTCCGCTCTAGAGGTAAGTATGAGTGGTTCTACCTGTGATTCCTAGACCTGCGTGGACCAGAGTGACTATGAGTGGTTCTACCTGTGATTCCTAGACCTGCGTGGACCAGAGTGATTATGAGTGGTTCTACCTGTGATTCCTAGACCTGCGTGGACCAGAGGTGACGATGAGTGGATCTACCTGTGATTCCTAGACCTGTGTGGACCAGAGTGACTATGAGTGGATCTACCTGTCATTCCTAGACCTGCATGGACCAGAGTGACTATGAGTGGTTCTACCTGTGATTCCTAGACCTGTGTGGACCAGAGTGACTATGAGTGGCTCTACCTGTGATTCCTAGACCTGCGTGGACCAGAGTGACTATGAGTGGTTCTACCTGTGATTCCTAGACCTGTGTGGACCAGAGTGACTATGAGTGGTTCTACCTGTGATTCCTAGACCTGTGTGGACCAAAGTGACTATGAGTGGTTCTACCTGTGATTCCTAGACCTGCCTGGACCAGAGGTGACTATGCGTGGCTCTACCTGTGATTCCTAGACCTGCCTGGACCAGAGGTGACTATGCGTGGCTCTACCTGTGATTCCTAGACCTGTGTGGACCAAAGTGACTCTGCGTGGTTCTACCTGTGATTCCTAGACCTGTGTGGACCAAAGTGACTATGAGTGGTTCTACCTGTGATTCCTAGACCTGCATGGACCAGAGTGACTATGAGTGGTTCTACCTGTGATTCCTAGACCTGCATGGACCAGAGTGACTATGAGTGGTTCTACCTGTGATTCCTAGACCTGCATGGACCAGAGTGACTATGAGTGGTTCTACCTGTGATTCCCAGACCTGCATGGACCAGAGTGACTATGAGTGGTTCTACCTGTGATTCCTAGACCTGCCTGGACCAGAGTGACTATGAGTGGTTCTACCTGTCATTCCTAGACCTGCATGGACCAGAGTGACTATGAGTGGTTCTACCTGTCATTCCTAGACCTGCATGGACCAGAGTGACTATGAGTGGTTCTACCTGTGATTCCTAGACGTGCGTGGACCAGAGTGACTATGAGTGGTTCTACCTGTGATGTCCGGCAGCTGCCTCTTCTTGCCGTTGTCATCACAGGACCGATCCTCACACTGGCTCCAGGCCGTCCACTGCGACACAGAGCAGTGCCAGTTGCACTCAACGTGACATCGCTGGGAGATAAGGGGGCGCTTGTCCGTGTCACACCTCACGTCAGACACAGGGCGCTCAAGACCCTCCTCTGGAACATAACGAATTATGAAATGATTTTCCATACTTGTTTTGTTACAAAATTACCCTATTATCAAACACCGAGGGTACTGGGATCAACTCTACCCTGTAACCCACACATGAGGTTTATCATCCTTGTTTCCCGCGAAAACTTATGCCCATTGTTGGGGGTTTTCTGTCCAAAAGATTAAACAAGGGTCATAACTCTGTACAATGTACCTCATGAACAGAGTGAGTGAGTGAGTGAGTGAGTGAGTGAGTGAGTGAGTGAGTGAGTGAGTGAGTGAGTGAGTGATGCCACTTTGAACAGTATTTCTGTAACATCACAGCATGTCAGCCTGCTGTGGGAGGGCGTTTACCATACTTCAGGGGTATGGTGCTGAAAAACCTGGGATTTGAACCCATGATCATAGGTTTCTAGGGACACAGCTCTGCACAGTATATTCTGATGCCTGATACAACTGGGCCCCTGTCCCCATGTAGAGGGAGATGTGAGTCCTGGCTGATACTGACCGTCCACCTCGACACAGATGGCCTTCCTGCTCTGTATGCCAATGCCGCAGTGCGAGTAACCAGGGACCGGCTCGCACGTGTTCCACCCAGACACAATCCACTTGGCCCTGCAATAACGGAGACCCAGGATATCATGCTTGCACAAACATTTGTCTCATAAAGAGATAATAACTTCAAATAACTCAGAGATAGAAACTGGCACTAAAGTACTCACGGAAATGAAAAAAACCTGTTTTTTCGATCTCAGATTTTAAATAAATGCAGTTAATATACAAAATATATAAATATTCAAACAACTCAATTAGTACTAATTGGGCCTTGACACAAATACAGTGTATCAAAGGTTTTTATGTTTTTTTACACGTAAAAGTGTGTAAATATATGAACAAAACAGACTATTGTGAGCATAACCAGGTGTTAGTAAATCAAGGTGAATGTCCATGACCTATGACACCTTGATGACAGGTGAAAACAGGTGCTTGAAACCCACGTGCATGTGATTTGACACTGGTTAGTGATTTGTGAGTGGCATTGTGGGATAGCGAATCATCGTCAAAATATCAGAACGTAAAAGTAACATATTCCCTTCTCAAACAACAACTTACATGTCATTATTATTATGTACATAAACATAGCTGTTATTTTTATTGTTGTTTTGATAACTTTTATCCAGGCTAATTTGCATAATGCCTATAGCCTGTTTCTGCCATGTCAATTTGGACTTAGTTTTATTTTTGAATGTTGAAAGTGCCTACAAATTACCTCCTGTAAAGTACATTTTGTATTGAGCACTGAGATAAAACTAGCAAATCCAGACTAGTACTTTTCCAGTTGTTTTGTTATTTCGTATTTACATCTACGTAATGCTTTGTGTCGATTATTAAATCCAGCAAAACAGGGTTTTTTCATTACCATGAGTACTTTAGTCCTACAGTCCTTGCCAAACTGTCCAATTGGTAAGGTATCTCAGGTATGTTAAAGACCAGTAGACATTTGCCACTTGTAAGGGATTTGTTATATGTTATCATTATAAGCACTAGTGGATTAAACATGTCACTTTTTGTTGCTGTAATTGTGTTACAATTTTGATGTAGGTGTTGTTGTCATTTTCAAATGACAGTAGACTACTGATGAAGGCTACAGTTAACTACCATGACACTTAAAGCCCAACTTAATGCAGCTTAAGGTTTTGAAAAAATAAGTTAAACTAATTTTTTTTGTCCCTGTCCAACTCTCCATACCTTCTACATGGCTTGAGATTGTTAACATCGTCTACATCCACCTTGATGACATCATGGAGTCTATCTGGGCACGGACGACCATTTCCGAGAGGAAGCTGTAACACTGACAGTGTGCGGATCATGTACCCCGAGTTGATGCCGTTTTCCCCGAAGCAGCTATTGTTGAATGGCTCTATCTGTGACCAGCCCGAGACGACGCAGTCTTGTGGAATGATGCAGGATTGATGCTGATGAAGAAGGGGCTCGGTAACTTTGTCTGTGCAAAACCTGAAAAAGTGGTTTGGTGTTGATGAAAGACTCATGGACTTTGTTCATGTAAAAGCTGAAATAGTAGACTGATGTTGGTGGCAAAGGAACAAGTAGATGTAGTGTAACATATTTCTGTGTTGGTGAAGAGCACCTAACAGTATCAGTTCAGGACAGAGGTCATCCAGTTGTGGCTACTCAGGGCAGTGAGCACCTGAATGTCAACAAATTGTTAAACATGATCCTAAAATGTTGTTCTTGTGCTTAAACACACACATCATCACTGCACATCTTTTTGAGCAATGATAAATAGAGAATCTCACCCGAGTGTCTTTTGATATCAAATATATCAACACAAGTTGATAAAAGTGGAAAAATTTCGAGGCTTGCCCAGGAATTTTGCCACTTTTATCAACGAGTGTTGATATATCTAATATCAAAAGACACGAGGGTGAGATTTTATTTATCATCCAACATCATTCTTCCAACTTTTTCAAATTGTAGACAGCAATTAGCAGTGCCTTAAGTGTAAAAAGTATTGCTAACAGCTTCAGTAGCAGAGCCATTAGTGATGTCATTTGATTGTGACGTCATGGTAACCAGTGACGTCACAATGGTCTGCAAAGATACACTGTAGATATCGCTTGATCTACTCCAAGCAATATCTCCTGTTGGAGCCAGTTTTGGATGATAAACAACATTTATATCGTTTTTTCTTTGCATGTTATAGATAGATCACAAGAAGAAGAAAACAGCACTGGGTTTTACAATAATCATAATCATACCATTGTCATCTGCTCCCACACAGTCCAACAGTCAGGTTCCCAACCCCCACAGAACTATACACATCCCACACACTGCTTTGATACTAGTAAGATAAGAAATCATTCATCTCTCTATGCCGAGGTATCACAATGGCTCATGTCCAAGTTTCCTTTACCACATGATGAGATATTGTTTTTAGCTTCTGGTCAGAATTTGAATATGGAAAATAAAATAACAGTTCACACAGTAAAATTGGTTTACTTTCCCAAATTTTAGTCTCGAAATTGCATCATCATGCCTTCTGATGCTTTCTATGTTTGTTCAGTGAATGAAGATCCAAGCTCTGCTGCTGATGAACTGATATTGTCACTGTCAAGCAACACCACAATCCAAGCAATGATCAGTGGATAGTGTCTTGTTTTGCCTTATGGAGATTATGTAATAAAATTTGAGACAATTCATTTGAATCAATAGTTTTTCATAAAAAAATATAGATATGAAGTACCAGATAAAAATGAAAAATACATAGAGGGTTATAAAATTCACTGTTTCTCTCATCAAGTGGCATGGTTAGAATTGATATTTTCACGAGGGACCAACGTTTTCTTTAATCATACATCGATCTAAACTAAAAATCTATATGCCCCTGGGTGATAAAATAAATTTGTTAACTGTATGCCATATTCTATTTTTCACCTTCCAATTACAGACTCCATGCTAAATGAATTGTGACCCAAGTGTCATGGCCGACCTGGTGTTATCATTCACACTGATAGTCTATGAGGGGAGATAGTGTTAGGAACAAATATACAGATATCAGATGTTGCTTCTAGCAGTATGATGAAATTATTTGCATATTTGATTAAGAAAGAACTCTTCTTATTTCGTAAGCCGAAAGATAACTCCTTGTAATCTGGACACCATGTTTATACAAGTGGTACATTTCATTTCGCAATAATCACTTTTAGTTTCCAAGAATAAGCGTAACTGACAGATACAAATACCAGCGTGGCTAATGCTGAAGGTTGTGAGGATTGTGAAGACAATATTTCATACAAATCTGAATGTCAGTTCCCCAGATAAAGAGAAAGCTGACGTATTTCAGGATGTTTAATCTGCACTTCCTTTACACTTGCAGTGATGCTCATTAATATCTCTTCTCACCTGTACACAAAAACCGATTCCAAAATAGAATGACATAATTAGCCTGTCAGGCTTAAACAGAAAACTGTATTGCTTGTTTGATAGCTATACACATTAATCCCACTGGAGCCTGCTGGATGCCAATTACTTCAGAGGAAGGGCCACTACAGGAAACACACATCCGATCCCTCCCACTGTAGACTCCAGGGGAGGGATATGTTTTCAAGTTTTATATCTCGCAAGGTTTAGTCCAACCATATATATATGTGTACAAGAAAATCTTCCCATTAGCACTGTGCAAACATGCATCAAGGGATCGGATTATCATCTCCTATAATGGTGAAAACTCTTGTCGTTCTAAGTCTGTCCTAAAGGTAAATAATCTATCAGTAATCACACTGAGAGCATGCTATTTCATCAGGAAGGCAGGAAGGAAGACATAGTGGCATGAAAAATAAAAAATATTTTGTGGGGACTTTAAAAAGTAAAGATAAATCCTTTACAGATAATGACTTTTTTTAAAATTGGCTAACAGGAGAGATAAATGGGTTGTATACCGGGTTTTGTCGTGGAAAAAAGTTTGTGTAACCAACACATAACTTTACATTGTTAGTTACTGTCACATGTATCTATCACGAACAAATTTCAATCAACTCTTAGCAAAAAAAAATGTCAAGGTAACTTAAAATATTGATATATATTTGAAAAGAAAACAGCCTGTTAATGTAACATAGATATTGTGTTGTCCATGCCCTGCCTGTCCATGTACAAAAGTTTCATCTGATGTATCATATTCTTGGCCATGAGGCTTTGGATACCGAATAAACTTCTTCTTTTTCTCAGAATCTTCATAACACAAGACAATGAATCACCAACAAGTACTCTAACATGCAAATGAGTTCTTTTTTTAAATGAAAATCTTAAAAATACTATTTTTTTGTCTTGACTTCTGCCAGGTCTCTAATTTTGAACCAAATAATTTGATGATGAGTTTATAGTTGCAGCTCCAGCACCCTGCACTCGGACGGGCTTGAACTGTGTGAAGCGCTCGTAAAAGGTGACAAGCAGTCCCATGAAGCAGGTATCACAGACTCAGTGTTGAAGGTAAGAATTTCACAAACACAATGCTACCCTTCTTTCTGTGATGTCATCCTTTTGTTTTCTTTGCCCATATTTAGCAAGTTCCCAGATGATTAAAAGTCAAGTACTTGATTTTAGAGCGGTAACAAAAATCTATGTTGCAATATGATCCAATCATTGACAGTGCAGCCTCTATAAGATTACCGGTACATGGAACTGTTGCAATCTGGGAGACACATTGCTTTCCATCTTCCAGAGAATGAATCAAGCCTAAACAGAACATATGTTGTAGTTAATCAGTGAAAATGCGTTGAGGCCTTTGATGCCAAGTTTAAGATTAACCATTTGTTTATTTAGAGATGCGATTAAACTCAACTCTGTAATAACTGGTGCCTGAAATTGAAATCCTCAAATGGGCTGACAGGCTTTTCCAAATAATTACCTGCACCCTTACGTTTAGCCGAAACATGTCTCAAACAGAATAAAACAGCACTAATTTGGGTAGTTTATTGTTTAAAGAACTCAAATTTATCAACTGTTCAGTGATTGATTATCCATAATCCCATGCAGCAATAAGTAGGATTTAAATTCATGTTTTTATATCAATTTGCTTCAGTTAAATCACATTGTTTTGTTGGACAGCAGTATGTAACGGCAGCGGAAGAGCAATAGTGTTCATTTTGTTTGACTGCAGTATGTAACTAAAGGCCCTACACTGAGCAACAGGTGAACATGTGGTTAGGAAACTCATAGGGATTGCTCATGTCTGTGTTCAGAGACAGACACAGACAGAGGCAGGCAGACACAGGCGGAGAGAGACAGACACAGGCAGACAGAGACAGACACAGACAGACACAGGCAGACACAGACAGACACAGGCAGACACGGACAGACACAGACAGACACAGGCAGACACAGGCAGGCACAGACAGACACAGGCAGACACAGACAGACATGGACAGACACAGACAGACACAGGCAGACAGAGGCAGGCACAGACAGACACAGGCAGACACAGACAGACACGGACAGACACAGACAGACACAGGCAGACAGAGGCAGGCACACACAGACACAGGCAGACACAGACAGACACGGAGAGACACAGACAGACACAGACAGACACAGGCAGACACAGGCAGACACAGACGGACACAAGCAGACACAGACAGACACAGACAGACATGGACAGACAGAGGCAGGCACAGACAGACACAGGCAGACACAGACATACAGACACAGACAGACAGGCAGACACAGACATACAGACACAGGTAAACACAGACTGACACAGACAGACAGACAGACAGACACTAGTGCCTGCATGCATAAGACAACAAATTACAGCTGTTTGAATATGTGTGGAAAAATCCTGTGGTTTGAGATGGTTGACATTGTCTTGCCACATTTCTTATAAGGGAATAACATTCAATTATTCGACATGTTTAAAGATACTTTCACACCGATAATTGATGTTGATGTGCCATTTTGTTTCAAAGAATCATGTTTCCAAGGATACATAATTTGAACAGCGTCATGATGTAAGCCCATTATGATGTCACTCAAAAAGTGTACTTTATTGCTGGATTAAGTACAGTCAGCGTCTTTGATCTTTTAGCAAACCCTCTTCGAATGTTTCCTCTCAATACATGGCCTCACAATACCAACTCGTATCATGCAGAGTATTACGATGCACCGAACATCCTCACATCTTATTGGACGCCTCCGTGATAAAGCATCTGCCTGGAGAGCGGTCCTACAAGGTTAGTGTTTCGATGCCCTAGCCACATCATACCAAAAGGCTTGAAAAGATGGTACTTCTTGTTACCCTGCCTGTGCTCGACTGTTTGGCTAGGAGTCAGTCAACTGTGTCTGAGTGGGATATTATGTTAAACTACAGCATGGTATCACAGTGGGCTAGCATAATAAAACTCTCATTAAGTCTGAACTAACACAAGCAGCCACACACACACTCATGCATATTATTTTATGAGGGCAATAATCTTGATTTCGACGTGAAACCCCATTTCACC